TTTAGGGAGCTGTTCCACTTCTTCAACTTATTAGTGCTCCTCTTGGTTCAGAACCGACATAAGTGATTTATTTGGCAATAGCAAGTCAGCTGTGTTTGATCCATCTTTGCTTACGCCTGTCATGTTGCTGTCGTCACCGCAGTCTCTGATAATTTCTGCAATGACAACCTATTGCTGCAACCGAATGCCGACGGAAAAGCTGCTGAACTGTATTGAGTGCCAAGGAGCGGTTCCAACGCATTTGAGTTTGCAATAAGGCCATGGAAACGACGTATTGGGAGGGGTTATGCGACTTTTTGCGGATTTCGCAAATTTTTTCCGGCGCGACAATCCAGGGTTGGAGCTCGTGAAAAGTGTTCGGCTCCTTGCGGAAAACCATGTAGACCACAAAAACATAATTACTAAAATAACATATAATAAAACCTCGAGTATTGCTTAACTCGGGTTCCACATCATGTTGCACTGTCCTCTGTATCTTACGCAGCCAGCTGTCCAACGACGTGGTACCGCTTACTCGCTTCATCAGTTCGGAAACTGTGGATATAGAACCGCACTTCAATGGGAATGTTGAAGAAACGGGTGTCCCTCTCGAATGAACTCAGTATTTATATACTCGGGGGCAAGTTTCCGTGGCAGTGCAGTCTAAGGCACGGGCTCGACTGCCCTCTCTCATTTTGAGCACGGATTGAAAGTGATCGCGCTTCCCCCTTCTCTTCGAATATGCCACAGAAAGTTGATGTTCTTTTGGGCTCATGTTTTGTTTCTAGCTCGTGTTTCAAGCTTGCCATCTGGAGACCCGATGGCCATGGGGTGGATTACCACAACGCTATTCAACGGACCCTTGGAGGGCCTGATGGCTTTGTCTTGCCGACAGTCGCAGTGCCTGTGTTAGCATTCTGCTCTACGTGTTTGACAGGGGTCTGTCGGCTCGGGGGTCGATGCGCTTTATGGCGGTGTAAAATTGACCAAGTGGTTGATTTGGTTTTCTCTTCTTGCAAGAATTTCTTCTGGGTCTCGTTGCGCCGACGGTGTCGGCGGTGTTCGGGTGCTTTCATCTTACGGGTGTCCGGTTTTCTCGAGTTGGTCAGGCTAACGGCTGCTTTGTTTGCGGTTAGGTCAACTCGGGGCTTGATCTTTGCTCGTGGTTCGACCTCGCGTCTCGAGGAGCGACGCGGGTTCGTCTGCGAGTGTTTGGTTTGTTTTCTTTCGTAGACTCGTAAGATTGACGGGAGAGGCTAGTGGTGTTGCCAAACTACCGTCCCCTTTTCTGATTCAAGGGAAGATTTGCTTAAATGAACTGTCAGGCGAAAACCGGAAGTGTACCAGCCCAACCGGAAGTGTTGGGCTGGTAGCACCGAGAATGCATGTATACGCACGCATGTCAGGTTCATTTCCTTCTAGGGTGGCCCATTATTCGTGAAACCTATCATAAGCGCATGTATGAAACTAGGCAATTGATATCGCAAGACTCAATGGCTAACATCCATAGCAACCGCTTGGTGTCCCATAGCGCGAATGATCGTCGGATGGTGGGGAGTATAGGCGTGACTGCCTTGTCTTTTGGTTCTTATCATATACGCCTCGCAAGTGGGCTCATTTTCGTCTTCTGCGCATGAGAAAGGAAGTAGCGGTGACGTCAGAACGCCGAGCCCTCATTGGCTGATCGCGACCCCCTATCTGAGCGTCGTCTGCTCCTTTGCAACGTCGTCTGCTCTCAACGTCGTCTGCGTCTGTCTTACCTTTCCTGCAACTTTCGGAAGTCGAGCGAGCTCGACTTCGACTTTTAGAGAGGGCAGACGAAATAACTCGAGCAATACGTTGTTTTTGTCTAACAAGTAGCAGACGCGCATCAAGGAGGGAAGTCAAAGGACTCACTGTCCCGAGGCGCCGAGGTTTGTTTGCTGAGAACCGTGAGTGAGCGTGTTTGTGTCCGCAAGTTCCCTCCCAAATACTTTTGCCTCCTTTCGTGTGCGGCGAGACTCCTCTCTTTAACGGCGTCGGTGGGTAGGCGCAGTTAACGTCGTCTGCTTTACGTCTGCTAGCAAAGCGATGGCTGCTTCACCCTTCCTGCGTCTGTCGGAGATTCACCGCCTTTTTACCGGCGAGAGTCACCGTTGCCTCGGAAAACAAGGAGATGACAAGAAGAGATTGACCTCTTAATCTAAAATTGAGGTCAGCGATCAAAGTATAAGACGGTAAGGGTCGCGCGGGCATATTCCATTCAGCACGCCAACCGGTCGTGGGCAGGCGGTCGCCGAGTCGGAGTGCCTGCTAGGCCTATCTGGCGAGCTCGCTTAGTCGTTGTCGGTGGAATCGTGGCCGTTGGAGCTTTTCCCGGGTGTTTGTGGATCCAGCGTTCTTGTTCGTCGTGGTCTGTTTCAAGTACTTTTTACTTTTTTCTTGCTGCTTGAAGTCGGGACGCGTGAGAAGCGCACGTAGAAAAATAAACGTCCGTTGGTCGTCGCGACCGCGACGCTGCCGGCCATGCTGATTTGATCGTAAGAAGTGCGTAAGACAGCTTCGGAGCTGTCGTAGGATTTCGTCGTAACCTGCGCAAAACTTACGAAAATTTCGTTTCGTGAATACGATTTGTTCTTAAGTTTTGTCTTACGCTTATTTCTGGCGTAAGATCGTTTTGTGAACCTGGCTTCTGGCCTCTTCACTTTCGATAGTAGCAGGAAAGGTAAGACAGACGCAGACGACGTTGCGAGCAGACGACGTTGCAAAGGAGCAGACGACGCTCAGATAGGGGGTCGCGATCAGCCAATCTGAGCTCGCCGTTCTGACGTCACCGCTACCCCCTGCGCAAGAAGCAGGCGAACTTGCCCTCCGCATATTTTGTTAGGCTGAACCACGCTGAAATACAATTCGTGTGATGCGATCCCCGAGCGTGTGTGTGAGGAAATGCGTCTTCTACCGCGATATTATTCGAAAATTGACACGAGCTCCGGAGAAACCATGCCAGAGTTCCATCTACTGAAAGATCATTCCTAATATGACTTTTCAGGCTTGTTGCATTTTATCAAAATTTTTTACTGGGCCGCCATTTAGAAACAGCCTTCCAGCGGCCGTAAAGCTTGTCTTTAAGGCTTACCGAGGAGCAGGGGACCGCTATTGTTTCTATTCGGTGTGTCTCAATCGCAGCCCATCTCAAGGGTTGCAAACACTTAATTTCCAATCAGTGTGGAATTTGGGCGGGAGATATATGTTGGTATGGAGAAAGATTTCGCGGTTGTTGTTTGCAAGCACTGCTTTCGGTCGCTACGTGACGCCGCACCGAAGGTGCCAATAGAAACCGAAACTTAGGGGTTAACCGGTACCGAGAAAGTTGTGTCGCGCACCTCACCGTCAGGAGCGCTTAGAGTTTTCCAAAGGTTCACAAGGCTATATTCTCTCGCTAGCCTCGATTTGAGGTTGTGGCTCTTTTTTCACGATGTATCGTTAGTCTTTCAAAGTGACTACATAAATTAGCTTCTCAACGTGTCCCGCTATGATTTACTACTCAGATGCCCGAAGTTGGTGGACTCATTATTAGAACGTATGAAGATATTGCTCCTCTGGAGTAAAAAGCAAAGAAGAGGTTTTCTCCGATGGAGAAAACAAATTGAAAGGGGGAAAAAAAAGTCGAGAGAGGGGTAGGGGGGGGGGGGGGGTTTGAGCGGGTGTGTCAGGCGCGTATATCTTTTGGGGGTGCTAGTCTCTTCGTAGAGAAGTGTGTATAAATTCCTGCCACGACTTATGCACCAATTGAACTGCCCCGCTAAATTTAGCGGGAAATTTACGACCCGTGACCTATGCACCGATTCCGTTTTCTCGCTAAATTTAGCGGAAAAGTAGGCGCCACTGGATCTCCACATGAATTCAATTTTCTCGCTAAATATAGCGAAAAATGGACGTCACGTGACCTATGCACGAATTCCGTTTTCTCGCAGAATTTAGCGTAAAAACTGACTTCACGACCTATTCACCAATTCAGTTTCTCTGCTAAATTTAGCGAAAAAATTGACGTTACGACCTATGCACAAATTCAGACTCCCCGCTAAATCCGCGGGAAAATTGTTCTCACGTAGCCTGACGTCACGGTGTCTGAAGACAAATTCAGGTTCCCCACTGAGTTTAGCGGGGAACCTTAAATTAGCGGGCCTTGCAACAAAAGAAGAAGGTAAACATACTGAATGCTATCGCAACTCATAGACAACCAACAATAGTAGTTTCTGCAGCCATTTTTTTTTTAATAACTTCTGCAGGACGGAACGTGTGAATATATGCGGACTCGACTGCAGGAGCTAGCGAGACAGCCAGCGCACCGGCGACGGGTGGAGGGAGGGGGGGGGGGGGGGGACGGGAGAGGGAGAAACGTTCATTAGTCTCCACGTAAGGGAGAGGGAGAAAAGGCCTCTTTTGTGGAATTTTTGAGTGGCCTTGAGCTGGTGAATGAAACAAAAGACACTGCTTCCTCAGCCTTTGTTTGTCCTTTCGTAGGGTTCTCAAGAAGCGATTGGCGCAACACGCCCCTACTCCCCCAGCCCCGCTAGAGGGCGAGGAGGGTAAACCGTCTTCTCTGGATTTGCTACTGCGAAAATCCGGACTCCTCCGTGCTCCTCCGGCTCCGGCAGAGATAAATATTTCCAACTTTAAGCCCGGCTTGCGAGAGCAGAAAAATGTCACTGTTGACGTCACAGGAAAAGTCACTACTTTCTCCCGGATTGTTCCGGGCGGCGTCTTGCGGGCTGGTTCGAACCGACCTTTATTAAAAATATAATTTTTAAAACCGTAATAAAAAGTTTCGCACGGCTTCTTGGAATGAGATCGGAAGCAAGATCGTGATTCCAACTGGTACTCTCCTGTCGAGTAATGAGATAAAAATAATAATTAGAAGTGTCTAAAAATTTAAACGCGCCTGTGAACAGTTGTATGATGATGAACAATAAATTTAAGGGTGAAGTTCGACGCTGTTGTAGTTGTGCTTACACAAGTGGTTAAGTTAATTTATTTTTAAATCAAGATTTCCCAGCGTGGACAACAAACATATCGGTGTAAAAATGTGGGTCTCCGCCGTTGCTTTCTTTCCAGTATGAGCGAATGACGTTTTCCAGATCATCTTTGTAGCTTGCCCTTGATTCGACCGGGAGTAGTGGCAAAAACGGAAGGACCGCGATACTCGTTCCTGAAACATAGAAAACACCTCGATCATCAACTGCGTAATTAACCCTTTAACAGGTTGAGCGAATTATTTTTCTGTTTTTTAACACTAACGTATAAAAAAATTACCGGTGTCTTTTTCAGGTTTTTCAGTTTTTGTTTTTAAACCGTTGAAAACTACACTAATGTGGTCTTTTAACACGAGTTATACGGACAAGGGGACATGATGTAGAAAGTTAATCGTCACGTTAGGTTGCATAATGGACTAAATGAGTTCTTTAACTTTTTAATTCATGAATATAAACATATGGTTCCAATTGAAAACTTGCTGAGCGTCATCGAAAAGCACCAGGAAAGTTTATAGACATTCGGACGGTGTGGGGAGCGTTTTGTTGCGCCTACGTCACTACTCGTGCAACGTAAAGCCCCTGATGAACTGATAACTGGCGCCATTCATTGTTGTACAAATGCTCGAGACACGTGGCGCACGCCACTTCTGGGAAGAACATGGCGTCTGAAATCTAGCTCAGTGCTGCGCTGTGCCGCCGCGATATTCCCAAAGGCTGCACGCGCTACGTTTGCACGGAGCAGTGACTTTCGTGCAACGGGCTCAAGGCCGGCGGTGCGAAAACGCGGATGATAAGCTCGCGGTGGCATTATGATCCGCGTTTTCTCCCTGCCAGCTTTACGCCTGTGTATCGGGTGGTATCCGTCCGCTTCCAATCGGAGCGTACAAGTGCGTCATTTGATTCTTGCGCACTGTCTGGCGTTCGAACGCCGGGCGCCGGAATTTTGCGTCCGTACGCGTTCGAACAGTGAGTGAAAACCGCGGTATAAGATATTGTATATTTCATACTGCACTGCTGTTCTTACTTTTCTACTGATTTCTGTAAGAAAAAATAAAGTTGTAGTATCAATTACAAGTTTTTGTCCCGCTTTTATGGCAAAAAGTCACCTAAACCTTCTAGACCTTGCAATCTTGAAGGGCAAATTGGAGGCTTTTTGGTTAAATAAATACATAGGATGAACAATGCAGGTATTGTTTTAATTTGTAGAATACTTGAACTTGAGGCCAATACCCGAATACAGCTCAAAATATATCTAGTCATGAAATACATGGAATCAAAAGAAAATCGCTGTGGCCTTGGGCAAACATGCTAGCATAATAGGTACACTTCGCACCGATGTAACTTTGGAACAAAAAAAAATGATGAAACGTTTTTTTTTGTGTGTGAATGCACACCAGAGTATGGTTTAAAGCTCTCAGTATGAATTAAAAAAAATCGAAGTTGGCTTTTTTTAAAATTTTCTTTAAAGTTTAACTTTGTACAAGTTGGACAAGTTTAGAACGGAGGGTTAATACTCGTCTCTCAATCAACGGGTTGCCTTTTTCCCTCCCTGCCTTTTACCAAAATTGGAACAAATAAAGCATTTGAATTTAAAAACGACTTACGAATGACCTCCTCCAAGTCCTCAGCGAGAGAAGTTTTTGTTAGAATTTCACACGCATGGGGCTTCAAGTTCACAGTTTTCAGAATGTCCAGCATGTAAGATATGAGGCTGGCGTGGTCTTCAGTATCCTGGCGGTCAGGAATAAACTTCTCGCATATCTGGAACAGGATTAAGGGTGCGTTTAACCAAACTCGTACAATTCGAACACTACCAACTAACTACGTCATTCCAGAAATAAAGACGTTCGTGCTGTTGTACTAGTCCCACTTGTCTCGCAAGACAAGTAAGAATAAGAACCAGAATCGTACGATGACTTTAAAAGTAAGCCAGTCAGTCTTCACCGTCCTGTTTAGCAGTAATCACTGGGGAATGGGAACACCACGGCATGACCTTTCGAATGCCCGACGCCCAGCACGCACTCGTTGCATTCAGAGATTGCTGCTGTTCTTATGACAATTAAATTTTGAAAAAGATGAAATCCGTTTGCAACTCCCTGTAACGCCGAAATAGAGCGCAGCGCTTGAGGAGGAGGAGGGAAGGGTACTGAGGGTTACGTGTTCTCGGGGGGGGGGGGGGGGTCTCGTGACCCCCAGAGAAATTTTTCCGCTAGACTTAGCGGGGAAACGTTTCCGCTAGATTTAGCGGGGAAATTTTTCCGCTAGATTTAGTGGGTAAATGTTTCCACTAGATTTAGCGGGGAGATATTTCCGCTACATTTAGTGGGGAAATTTTTCCGCTAGATTTAGCGGGAAATTTTTCCGCTAAATTTAGCGGGGAAATTTACCTATAATGCACCGTGCGGTTACGCCGACGGCGACGGCGACGCCGATGCCGCCCAAGCCGGAAACGGGCGCCTAAAAGCTGCGCTCTAAAAGACGGTGATGGCGGGTTTATGGTAACAGTGTTGCACAATGTACTTTATAGACTTATATAATCGTCAGCAAAGAGAATATCCATTCATGAAGGGAATTTGTGCAGGGACGTTAATTGCTGGGGGACGAACTGGAGGGACGTTAATTGCTGGGGGGCAGTGGCGTTATCAAGCACACTGCAATGAAAATGTATGGCTAGAGCATAAATAGTGTCGTAGCGCCTTTGAAAAGGATCAAGTCACATCACCGGTTGTAGAAAAAAAAAGACGCTTACAAGTCTCTGTAATGGGAAATTAGAGCGCAGCTTTTGAGATATTCTGATTTTGGGATATACCGTGCTAAACGATTTGAGAACAATATATACATATGTACAAGTATAGGTCACTCTCCTTATATACTGCTTCTGCACACTCCTCCCCTTCCGTCTCATCTTCCTTCTTCGTACCCTCCTCCTTCGTATCCTCCCCTCCTCCTCTTTCGTACCCTCCCCTCCTCCGTGCGCACCCCTCTTCCTCTTTAATAGCTTCCCCTCCTCATCCGTGCCCTTCCCTTCTCCTCCTCCTCCGTACTACTCCTTCATATTCTCCCCTCCTCCCACAGCTTCCCCGCTAAATTTAGTTGGAAAATTGACGCCACGTGACCTCAACACTAATTCAGTTCCCTGTTAAATTTAGTGGAGAAACTGAATTGGCGTGTAGGTCTGCTGCGTCCCATAACGTAACACTGTGCATTCGGTTTCCCCGCTTAATGTGGCGGTAAAACTGTCGTCACATGTCCTCGCTAAATTTAGCGGAGATACTGCGACGTCCCATAATGCAACGCACGCGTTTACGCCGACGGTGACGGCGACGCCGCTCAACACGAAAATGAGCGCCTAAGAGCTGCGCTCTAAAACTGACCACCCACTTCTCCCTCGTGAAGCTTACTTCACTGTGACGCTTGGGCGGCGCATTAGGTACCTCGAGTGGCTATTGGTTGGGGGAGTTCTTTCGGCTTCCGTTTTTGCGAGTTCTGGGAACCTATGATAAACACAACATAGAGGACAAGACCCGGGAATTAAGGCATCGTTGGAGAGTCTTTGACCCACTCAAGTTGCAAACACCCTTCTGCTCGACCGAGCTATGTAACAAAGCGGTAGACACGAACGTCTTGGCATCGCCTAGTGCTGGCATAGCGCTTGTTGTGAGACGCTGCAATGCGCTCTCGTGGCGACGCGGATGTCCGCTTGGTGGCGCAAGTCGTCGCCCGATTCAAAAGGTTCAGCAGTTGTTATCCATCTACCTATCCATCCAGTCATGACGTCGGAGGAGGACAGTGCGGTCCTTGCCTTCCAGGTGGCATTTTTACGGCAAACTTGTGGCCTATCGATCGCCATTCAGCGTGGCGGACTGAACAAATTATTCCTTCGAATAAGATTAAGTAGACTTCTACATGAGATGGCGTGATATTGACGCTCTCTAGGCAACTGGTGGCTTCTGTAAAAAATTCGCCTTGTTTGGAATCGATCCACGGACGTCTCCAAGAATAGCGAGGCGCCCTGCCAACTGACCTAACCAGAAGCTAACTTAAAGAAGACGGATGAGGAAAGTTGCCACCAGTCATCGACCATTGTCACTGCAAGGGTGAGGTGAGACGTATAGATATATAATTATGTATGGTAAGTTCAAAATGTGGAGATTATTGGGTTCTTCCTCTACACTGCTTCCCCCCCCCCCCCCCCCCCCCCGTCTTTCCAACCCTGGACTTGACCCACTTCCCGTGGCGCCACGCTATTTGTCGCGCGCGCTGAAACGTCATATCAACAGCTGCGTTCCGTCGCTGACACCCTCCCACCACGACGGACTCTTAAACAATTGCCTTGACCCCATCAGAGTTGCCAGAGTATTTCGGTTCGTTGACGACTATTTAATCATTCTTGAGGTCGAGAACAGCATTTTTCCAACCACTGCGACCAGCGTTCTCTCAACTTCCAAAAACTGCCTTGATCCATTGGCTTCCGGAAGAAAGATCTGTCCGATTCTTAGATCTCAGGCTCAATTTCATACTCAATCATATATGCTGGACATGTGAGCCAGGGGGGAAAAAGATTTTTCCTTTCAACTCATCACATTCTAAGCTGGTAAGAGGAGGCATCGTGAAATTATGTCTGAACAACTTGCTTCAAAAATCTTCCGAGCACTTTATTTCAGTAAGCTTTGATGCAAAACTTTCAAGATTAAGATCTACTGGATATCCTATATATTTATTAACATCGATTGCTGAGAGCAACATAAAACACAAAAATAAAGGAACATCTGTCACACCAAGAGCCAGGAATAGAAGAACGAGTCCAGTCGCTCTGACCTACATACACAAATTCTCTCATGGCACCAAAAAAAACAAAAACAAATCGCCAATAATTTTAACATAGACGTCGTCTTTTCTGCTTGTAGTAAGCTTTCCAACCTGTGTAAACAAGTAAACTAAACTTATTACCACCGAAGGGTAAGCAGTGTTGTACACGTTCCTCAAAAAAAGGAACGAAAGCTCGTTCCTCGTTCCTTCCGATTTCTGGAACGCGTTCCTGTTACAAGTTCCATATGTGAAAAGGAACTTGTTCCCGTTACAGTTCGAAAAATAGGAGGTATCGTTACATATAAGTTACATTTGTATTTTGCTTATTACTATATTTAGTTACATAGCACAAAGTTTTTTTTTTAAATTTATCCCATCAAATGGCAACATACCAATTTGAATGCCGTGATGGAAGGGCACAAGGGGAAGAAAGCATGCAAAGCAGGGTTTCATTTGTTAATTAATTCACCTTTAAAAATCTTAGCTTTTAACCGTATTCATGCTTGTGGTGGGCGGAATCAAACGAGCAAAATATACTGTTACCCTACATTGCGCTGTGAACTTGAAAACAGTTGCTTCTGGATGTTGATGTCCGCAAAACGATCAATGGAAGAAGGGGGTACGACTTCGGAAGGTCAGTCTTGAAAACTATAACTCCTTCGTCATGAAGGTTGAATTAGGGGTTCTGTTTGAAGGTGGGGGACTAGGGGAAAATGAATAAAGGTTAATTTTGTGCATCTTTTAAGTAACCAATGTTCGGGATTCAAGGGTGCGTTTGATGTCTGGTAACATGTTATTTTGTCGCAACGCTAGGTCTCTGTGGAAGTTCAATGACGGCAATAGTCTGCTTTATATTTCTAGGTATATGAGGAATCGTGGAAGCAAAGAAATTAGCCCAGTTTGAAACGTCTTTTTTCTATCTTTTTTTTTGACTAAAAGTTTGGCTTTTTTTCCTTGGGCACTAAAAAAAAAAAACATTATTCACTAGCTTTCCTGCACCCGACTTTTACTAAACGAGGACGACACAAAATAAACCCTAAGATAATTAACCAAGAAGTTAACGAGATTCTGCTCTTGTTAAAGGTATTGTTTTTATACTTTTAAAACTTCCCTCATAAAAATTGAAAAAAAAAACTGGACGAAAAAAGAAACGCCGTTCCTTTTTCCGTTCCAGTAAAAATGTAACGGGTTCCCGTTTCAGTTCCACCGATGCAAAATAGAACGGTGGCGTTTTTTTGTTCCTCCTGAAAGGAACGCGTTCCAGGAACGCCGTTCCGTACAGCACTGACGGTAAGCTGTACCAGAAAACACCAAAACAGCTTCGTCGGGTGCGCAGGGGAAGTGGTGTTTTTGTTTGCCCTTTCGTGTAGGAAAATGTATATAGGGAAGACTGGACGATGCCTTAATGACAGGCTCCGAGAGCACAAAAATAATAGCGCCAGAGCTAACTCTGGCCACCTCGGCATACACTGCCGTGATTGTGGGTCCGAGGTTCGCCCGCCATTTTGGGGAATTTTAGGTAGGCATAGTAGTCAATTAACTAGGGAAATTATTGACGCTGAACAGATCGCCAGGAATAAGGAAAACTGTATTGGTACACCATTTTTGAACCTGACAGAAAAATAAAAAAAGTTTCTTGGCGTCTAGAATATAGGCGCGCGTGATTCGGGAAATTCGGTTGTTCCAGACGTAGAATAAAGCAAAGTACAAGGTGGCACCAAAAAAAAAAATACACTATTTTTTTTTGGCGCAAAAATGAGCTAGTCATCGCCGAACGCTCATTCTCCGCCCTAAGGTAGTGCTAGAGGTCACAACCACATGCCAAAGCTTCAGCCCGATCCGATTCCTTATTTGAAAGTGATTTTCTGATCATTTCTATGGGAAAAAGGCGACCGACGGAGTTTCCGAATACATGGGGCTCTATTGCACCAGAAACTGAAAACAGTCAAAAATGGGCTCCATTTTCCCATTGAAATTTTCAGAAAATCGCTTATAACTTTTGAATAAGGTATCGGATCGGGCTGAAACTTTGGCATCTGGTTGCGACCTCTAGCGCTACCTTTGGGCGGACAACGAGCGTTCGGCAACGCCTAGTTCATTTTTGCAGTAAAAGAAAACCTGTAGCTTTTTGTGCGGCACCCTGTACATAAAAATGAGTCGTGAGTCAGCACGGTTCGTTTGATTTCCCTTTCTTTTTTTGTTTATAAGGAGTGAGTATACAGTGATTGTGCACTTTTGCAGTATTGCGTTGTTGTGTTTGTTTATAAAGCCTTCCCATCGTCTTGCTACGGTGAGGAGAAAATGAACACGAGACAGCAAGGTTCATGTAGGGTTTCCATGCAAGATCATTTGCTTTAGAACAATATGTGAGGAGTCTTTTCCTTCTTTTTTAGTGAGCCACATCCATCTGAAGAAACACCGAGATAAACAGGAATCTGTACTTATCGGACAAGCTTTCAGCCCTGAACCGTAGTCACCTGTGAATGAATTTTTATATCATAATATGACCGACTACAAATTAATACCTCGTGGAAATGCTGAACCTCCAGACATACTGCGACGTTCAGCCGAAATGGGCTTAATTTCGGTATATGAATTGGGGCTCATCTAAAAAAAAAAAAGAAAACAGCTCACGATATTAGCAAAGTCATTACCTCGTTATACGCTTTCCATTGGTCCATCAGGCAGATTCTCCTCCACATCTCGAAGTTTGTCGAACGAGCCACAAAGAAAAGCATGCACTCCCCTCCAGAAGTCATCAAGTCGGACATGTTTCTGAAAGCGGTCACGTGGTCCTTCACCCAATGTAAAGCGAAGAAAGAGTAGACGCGGTTGAACTGGCCGTACTTCCTCACAAGTCCCGACACGTCTTTCGAGATGTCATGCACCTGGTACTCGATCTGCGGATGGGCAAAGTTCTCTCTCGCGTAGCCCACCATGCTTTCGCTGATGTCCGTTGCAATGATCCTCCTGCAGGGCTGGCAGCGTGGCAGGAGTTCTTGGCGAGTGAAGTCGCCGGTACCACATCCTATGTCCATAAACTGCTGGCCCGTGTTGGGCCTGCTCTTGAAAGATGTGCCCAGTCGTTCGAGCATCCTGATGTTCAGCGCTCGCTGAAAGTCGTTGGCCATCACGTATACCTCCGGGAGGAACGTCGCGGTTGGTCGAGGCTCTTCGAGTGCTTCTGCGATTAGAGGACCCAGCAAGTTTCGGGAGGGAGATGAAGCGACCTGACTCGTAGTTTTCTTCCAGTGAAAATTCTGAAATTTATAATTGGAAGTAATCACTCTCAATAATGTCTATCACAATCCGTTTCACTTTAAGTTCGAGCGTACCAAATCTATACTATCCTATGGAGGCATTTTCATTTTAAGTTTCTAAATGAGAGCTGAAATGAATAAAAATAAAATTTGTCTCTCTCCCTGCACCACCAAGCGGAACAACAGGCTGAAACTAATTAAAAATGAACAAATAGGGGTTAATATGACCAAAAAGTAAATTTTGATTTAAAAGCAAATTAAAGAAAAACGGGGAGGCAACGAAACTACTAAACGAAGTACAGGCTTGTGTTTTGTGTGCGGGCTTTCATAGATTATAAATTCTGGTTAATAATGTCGTAGTTTATTATATTGTCCATTTAGTTTTGTTCCTCTTGGTCTTATGTTTCGTTTGAGACGACGACGAGGTTTCTTTACTGGTTACTTTTGTTTGCGTTATTTTTTCAATCTAATATCAAAGAAGTCAAATATGTAGTATTGGGTTTATTAAAGTATTCATGTTTGCTTATCAAAACGAAGTTCTTTTCAGGTCTTCGCCCTTAATCACCCATAGCACCCCTCGGTTCCTTCTTTTCTCCTTCTTTCTACTATAGTCAATATATCTTGTAATAATAACCTATTTCTCCCCGGAATCTTTACACTTTTTCCTGTCTCTTCTTGCTTGTTTCTTTGTTTTTATACTAGTATACTATCTCTAAAGTAATATTTATGCTAGTTCGTTCAATCTCTTCTCTGTATCCATTTATATGTTTTGTTCATATCTTCCTGAGAAAGAGTGATTGCAAAATTATTTATTAGTTTAATTAATACATCCTTTCCTCATCTACATAAAAACAATAGAATTGAGACACTTTTTTTTCCTAAAAAACTAAGAGGAAGTTGGAGGCTACGGAACTAGTCCGCGCTTTCCTATTTAAGTATTGAGGGGTCTTCGATGCATGCAATCTTTGAAATCTATATCTAGTAGAAAACCAGGGTTAGAAACTGGTTCAAACCTTCCTGATATTAAAAGGGTTTTCATTGGGCATGCATATGTTTAAAGCTTACTCTATGCTCAAGGCTGCGAATTTTGTTTATAGCTTGCTTGGAAAACGTGCTTGCAAAATTATTGATTAGTTTAATGAATATATCTTTCCCCTATCTTCACAGTAACAGTGCGCATTGAGACACATATATTTATAAAGCTGAGAGGAAGCCCGAGTATACAAAACTAGTCCGCAACTACCCACATAAGTATTGAGGGGTCATCCATCCATGCAATCTTTGAGAGCTATTTTATCTTCAATAGGAAGCCAGGGTTAGAAATTGGTCCATACGCCCTGATAGTAAAGGTGGGGGGGGATGCAACGATCTTAAGATTGAAAGAATTAGCATCTCGTAATGTTTACGTTGTTTATCGTGTCCCGGCGGAAAGAGAAAACATCTCCTTCATTAAAAAATGTCGCGATTACGCTGCACAATCGTAAAGCAAAAGTCGAGCTTCTCCCATTTGCAGCCACGACTGGCAGCTGAAGGAACTGCGACGAGAAGCTTGCGTTACCTCGCCCGGGTCTAAGCTGCAGCATAACGCCCGCTAATGTCAGCAGAGAAAGGGAGAGGAACCATCCTCCGAGAAAACAAACGGGAACCTATAGACCTTTCCAGCGGCAGTCTCGAACGAAGCGATTTACAGCGCGTGTCCCTGGTGGATGGATGGGTGGATATGGATGGATATGGTGGCTTAACCCTTTGTATCGGGCGATCACAGTTTTAACAAAACTGGATCTAGCCAAAAAGGAAAAAAAAAACACATAAATTTGATTGCCATTGCCCCCCACCCTCCTCACAGTTTTCCCCCAGCAGTCCTCCAGTCTTCGCTTTGTGAGTTCAACCACCCCGAGGCCGCCGACATCCCCCCGCGGACTGCGCTGGCCACCATGGTCTCAACTTCCCACTTCATTGATGCACATCGTCTGCGTCGTCTGCCCCTGCCCTGTCGATGGTGTCGGTCCCAAGTCCAACCCTTTCAGACCCAGTGCAACCGCATAATCCACCAGATCTGGTGGCATCAGCGGTCTCAGCTCTCGGCACTCCATTATGATATGTTCAGCTGTCTCCTCCTGCTGGCCACATAGCTGGCATGTACCGTCCATCCCCGGCGTGTACTTGGACCTCAGGTGGCGTGTCCTCAACACTCCACTTCGTGCCTCGCACAGCAGCCCACTGCCCCTCGAGTTGTCGACGAAATCCACGCCCACAATGCTCTTCTTTTCCGCACCGTAGACGGCGAGGGACGGCCGCGCGCCTACCGCGGCGACCCATCTGGTCGTTTCTGTCTCCTTCACGCGTTCCCGCACCTGTTTCGCCGTCCCCGTAGATTCGACCTCGCACAGCAGCACCCGTGGCACGTCATATCGCTCCGTGAGCTTGTTCACTCTCCTTACCCACCGGGTGTTGATGCTTCGAAGGTGGATGTACTTGAACACCTGGCGATCCCATCGTTGTTCCGGCAAAGTGCAAAGCCGCCGCTCGAAAATCAGTTTGCTGCTGGCCTCACGGGCCTCAAAGCAGGACCAACCCATGTCGCCCTGGACGTACTCACTGGTGGTGTTTCGGTGTGTTCCCAGCGCCAGGCGACCCACCACTCGCTGCCTCACTTCCAGATGTTCTCGTGTACGTGCCGACAGGCACAGTACGGCATTGGCAAAGGTCAAACCCGGCACCGCCACCATTTTCCAGAGTGCCCGCACCGTCTCGTATCGGCTGGAGCTCCACATTCCCCTGCATCCCAGGTAGCCCTTGCGTTTGTTCGCCGTGGTCCGCAGCTCGGCCTCATGTTGTTCGAGGTACTTTTGTCCCGACTGCAGCGTCACTCCCAGGTACTTATATTCGGTCCTCCACTCTATCTCTTGGCCCTGGATGTTCACTCTCTGCGACAGCTGCGTAGAGGCACCCTCTGTTTCCTGTTGCTCCACCCCCGCCCCAAGGACTCCAGACTTGCTGGGGTTGAACGTTAGCCCCAGGGTGGTTCCCTCATTTCCACAGATGTCCAGTAATTCCTGAAGTTCCTCCAAGGACCCCGCCATAAGTACCACGTCATCTGCATAAATCAAGGCAGGGATCCTCTGATCCACACGTGAATAAATTAAGTTCCGAGCTTTCACGGTCGGTTGGATGCCTATATAAAATAGGGAACCTTATACCAACATGGCTAAAGAAAAACTTATATTATTCGCTCTTTTACTCTAAGCTCTGTTATTGTCTTCTAGTGTGGGGCACGACATCGACCACAAACTATAACTCGTTGCTCACACTGCAGAAAAAAATGTTGCGCTTACTTGAAAATTATAAGGGTAAAATACAAGACCTGCATACTGCACCACTTTTTAAAAAATATGGCATTCTTAAGGTGAATCAGATATATTATTTTAAATTATTACAACTGATTCACAGACAAAAACTATATGTGACGGATTTAAGTGACGTAACGCATGCATACCCTCTTCGACACACATATAGGCGGCCCCCTCAGACCCGTACAAATTATGGAACACAAACAATGAAATATCAAGTCAGTAAAGCTCTGAATAACATTAAAGACCACATAAATTTTAATAACAATTTTGGTAAATTTAAAAGGGATCTCAGGACACTCATGGTGGGCAGTGATAACCCCTTATTATTTGAATTTGCATGTAATAACTAGTTGTTTTTCTGGTATATTCAAAAAATGAATATAGTGTTTAATACTAAGCGTTAACTTTGTAAACTGTGTGCTGCTGGAAAGCGCTGCTTTGGGGACAGGGACCTTTGTCAGGCTTTGAGCCTTTAGTCTCTGTCTCCATTTCGGTTGATTCCGGAAAAAAATAAACATTCATTCATTCATTCATTCATTCACTTGCCTCCCCTCTTCACCATAGCAAATCCTGAAACCCAAGCGACTGTCCTCCAGTGCTCTCTCGAGTCCTGCAATGTACAACATAAACAGAAGTGGTGAAAGCGGGCACCCCTGTCTCAGTCCTTTTGTGGCCTTTATGGGCTTGGTGAACTCTGCCCCCCACTGAACCACTATGCTGTTGTCTCTGTATATCTGTTGGAGCAGGTCCCTCCATTCCACAGGTATTCCCAACTCCTCCAATACCCTCCAGAGCAGCGAATGGTTCACAGAGTCATAAGCCTTGGAGATGTCCAAGAAACCGAGGTATGGGGGCCTCTGCTCGTGGTTGGCGATCTCCATAGCCTGAGTGATTATGAACAGGTTGTCCTCCAGCCTCCTTCCCTTGCGAAATCCGTTTTGGAGTTCCCCGAGTATGCCCTCATGCTCAGCCCAGCTCTGTAGGCGCTCCTTCAGTACATGCATGAAAATCCGGTAGAGCACCGAGGTCACTGTTATCGGACGATGGTTTTTCAGGATGAGCTTGTCTCCTTCCCCTTGTATAGCATCCTGACCCGGGATCTTTTCCAGTCCTCCGGTATGTCACCTGTTTCCATCACACAGGAGAGACCCTCTCGGAGCCGTTCCCTGGACTTTCCTCCCATTTTCTTCAGAAGGCCTGCTGGAATGTCATCTAGACCCGTTGCCGTATGACCATCCATGCGTTGCATGGCCCTGTTCAACTCGCCCTGGGATATAGCTCGGCGCTGTTGGGTACTTCTCGTGCTGTCTCTGAGGGGGTCACTCTGTCTTACTGCATCTGGTTGTTCGAAGCTCTCCGTCATTGCTAGAGCGATGTGCCGGATACATTCCTGTCCAGTCAGGACTACTCCGCTTGTGGCATCCCTTATTGTTGTCGGGTTAGGCTCTGCCCATCTCTCTTCGCCCCTGACATGTTGCCAGAACTTTCTTGGGGCATCTCTGCCACTGCTTCGCAATTCCTCAAGCAGTTGTCTGTCCACCTTCTTCATCTTTCTTTGCACCATAGTCGAGAACTCAATCTTTTTTTCCTGGTATTCTTCCCATGCTTTGAGAATATCCTCTCTCCGTGCCCTCATTTTGACTGCTTCACCGTGCTTCCTGGATGCTGCTCTCCTCCGTTTTCTTGCCTCTTCCACTTCTGTGTCCCACCATCTCTTACTCCTTTGTCTCCGTTTTCGGTGTCCACTCCTTATTCCTTTGACCTTTGTAATCCACTTGCACATCCAATTCACCACGTCTGTGTACTGTCGTATGGGTTCATCCTCCGCCTCCTTTTCCAGCTCCTCCACCACTCTCTCCATTTCCCTACTGGTTAGCCCCTTGGGTGTCCTTGGCATCGGTGACTGTCTTAATTTGGTTGCCCCAAACTCCAATGTCAGTCGGCGGTGATCACTTCCAAGACTCGCTCCGCCAGTCTCGTCTATTGTCATCTCTGTTAGGTTTTCATATAAAGTTGGAGACATGAGACAGTAGTCTATGCATGAGGAACGTTCTCGAACTGCCCATGTGATCTTCCCTTTACTTTTTTCTGTCCCGTTCACCATCACTAGTCCCATTTTTTCCATCCAAAATAGGAGTTCCCGACCCATCTTATCTGTCCTCTCATCCAGTTCCTCTATATGCGCGTTAAAGTCTCCAAGTATGATGATGGGTAAGTTCAGTTCTTCCACGTCCTTCTGTAGACAGGCCAGTTGTGCCTTGTTTGCTTCCTCGGATTTGTTACCAGTCCAGAGGTACACTATTCCGATTGCCACCTACTTCTTCCCTAGCTTCCCTGTCATCCACAGGTGCTCCACACAGCTTTCCCTTTGCCTTTCCCATTCGCCTGTAGCCGTCCCCAGAAAGCCCACAACTCCCCCTTTTCGCTCCCCACCTCTTCTGTTCTGGCCCTGCCAAGTGAATTTCTCATGTGCTGGTGGTACTTCCGAATTCCTCAGGTGGGTTTCCACCAGTCACACTCCCACAAGACTCTCCTCTTCCATTGAAGCGTACAGCTTCTCCCATTTCGCTGCTTTTCTCCCTCCTTGCATGTTCAGGAAAGCCAGAGTTTGTCGCGTTCTCCTCTGTCCCCTGCGTGTTCGCTTTCTTGCCTTTTTTGGCTGCATCCTTGTCTCTACCGTTTCCTTTGGTTGTGGATTTTCCACCCCCGCCCCGTCCATCCAGCTGTCCGCATCTGTCAACTCCTCACTAGCTAACTTTTTTTCCTCTTGTAATATGGGGGACGTATTCTCCGAGTCGTTGTGTTTTCTTTTTTCCCGCATGGTTCGTCTTGGGTTTTGTATGTGTGCCTCTTGTAGCTTTTCTCCTCTCACTGCCATGCCCTTCGCTTTTCCCCTGTGCCCTCTCAATATTGTCTCCCCTGTTGCTGGTGCATCCGTTGGAGCTGTTCCTCGATCTTCTGCAACCTGTGGGGCCATCCTTGTTTCCTGATGCTTCTTCCCTGCGTCCTTGTTTGTGATGCCATACCCTTGTTGTCTGGCATTGAGCCTAAAAAAGCCTCAATCTTGATGCCTAGGCTTCGTCCCATCTCTTCTGCTCCCTCACCATTGTGAGTGTCTCCCTGGTCCTCACCAGCAGGTATGTTGACATCCACAAACTCCACTCTAGGGCCCAACCGCTGTGTCATTTCTTTCGTGAGCGTGTTCATTTGTATGCTTTTTTCTTTTGTTGGGCCTACATTACTTTCTACTGGAACTGCACATACCACATACTGATGTTCCGGTGACATCTGACATCTCTTCAGTTGTTCTTCCAGTTCATTTATGGCACTCTGTGCCGTCACTTCTCCCCGCATATCCATACTCCCTGCATGAATGACAACCATTCCTGTTCCTGCTTGCCATATTCTGTGATCCCTTTCCGCCCGAGCCATCGTTTCTTTCAGCTGGGCCCCGGGTTTAGTTGCAAAGTAGACCCGCTTGTCATAGTCGACTGCCTTGAGTACCTTTCTCTTCATTTTGTATGCTCCTGTGTCACCCACCACTAATACACTCCTGTCACTTGTATGGCTCGCTTCCCACGTTTCCCTCTTATCTGCGGCGTTGGCCTCACTGCCACTTCTCTTAAGCTGTTCTGTTTCGATTCTCCCCATCTCAGGAGTGTTGGTGTTCTCCTGCCTCTCCCTTGGCATTAGTTGGCCCCTGTTGACTGACTCTCGTGACTTGTTGTTGCTTTTCTTCTTGCGTGCGCCGTTTTCCGTGCCACTTTCTCTCCTCGCCTTGACCTCCTCACCATCCCGTTTTAGGGGCCCGTTTCCGTCGTCTCTTCTATCAACCGCCACCTGCACACTCCCGATTGAGTCAGTGTCGCCCCGTGTGTTTCTCCTCTCTTTCATCTCTGTATTTAGTACCTCCATCAGCCTGGTCTCAGCCACCACTCTTCGTGTCCTTTCATCCTCGAGTTTTGCCGTCATTCTGTTCTCTGCTTTTCTCTGTTTTGAGAGTGTACGTCAGTGTTGCCCGACTGTGCTGAGCTGTGGAGTTTCTCGTCAAAAGGCTGGGGCAGCCTGCGTTGGCGCAGTTCCGGACGCTGGTGGCGGCTGAATTGCCGCGTTTTCTTTTTTATCTTGTATTCTGTGGCGAGCATAAATTATAGAGTCTTTAAGAAAGCAGTGCTCTTTTTTTGGGAACAAAAACAAAGAAATGAAAGCTGTTTTGGTGAGTCCGTGCGCTACAGTACAAATGCAACTGGAATGTTTGTTTCATTTTATGTTCATTGTTTTACGGCACCGTACACTCAGCCGTGTCAATCTATAAAGGTCAAAATGTTTGACCACACAGGATATCCGTACTGCATGGATATTCCCCGCCCACAACATAAAATTCAATGAGTCTCATCAATCGAACAAAAAATATATTGTACGTACCCCTCGGTGCCGCGTTATCCGAACAGGATTTGAGAAATGTCTCGAATAATACAGAATGTCCAATATACAGTGTCGAGGATAGTCACTTCACGACGATCGGACGCAATCCGGCGTGTTTTGGGGAACATGTAGAAGAGAGCTCCTTTTTTGCACAGCTTCACAGCAAATGAACGAACGTGCTTACTCCGTCGCCCCACCCCGGACCCGATCCTATCAGCTAGCTTTTGCGAAGACCCGGAACACAGCCTGGAAGGCTTTTTGGAGATTATCTCGACGGAAATAATCCTCCAAGAACGTCGAACTGCCTGCGTCGCGGGCTGCTTGACGTTCGCTCTCTTCGTTCGTTTCCTGCGAAGCCCGAGCGGGCTACGAGCCCTGGTGTTCCCCGGTTCTCACAGTGGAAGATAACATACAAATGGTAAGCATCCTAAACAGGCGAATAAAATAAAAACTTCCAAGAAAAGCCGGCGAACTGCGAATGCAAAATGCAGGTGGGGAGTCACGCTGACCGGGTTTCCACAGCTCAGGCGGGTGCCAGAGATTTCTGGCTGATAGGGGTCGCTCAATTCGCAAAATGGCGGCAGCCAGAGCGCTCTTTTTGGAAAGGTCTATAGGCTCCTTGCACTGACGTCACATCGCATACTTTTTACCACCATGTAAAAGGAGGAGAGGGAAGCTGCTTTTGTAAGAATTTTGGGTGACGGGTTTATCTTCTATAATCTTCTGGGAGGAGAATAGCGACGTCTGTGTATATCCGGGAGGCACAAAGGAGGATCCTGATAAGAGGAAGCTCCTTCTTCCCCTTTTCTCTGGAGGGAATCGGAAATGACGTCATGTGCAAGCCACGTATGCGGCACCCCGAATTACGTCACTACGAGTGCGATCAGGTGTGACCCTGAAAACTGGAAGTGAGTTGAGGGGTGCCAGAAATGCCCATATTTATCTTCTTTAATCGACGGAACAACTAGGACACGCACGAAAAATCGGTTTTCTGATCTTTAATTCAGAATGAGGGCGACTTCCACAAATTTTTGACCGCAATACGGCAATCGTTGCAACCCCCCTTTAAAAAGATCTTCCTTGGGAATGCATATTTTTTAAAACTTACTGGGTGCTCAAGGCTGCGGAATTTGTCTGCACTTCTGGAGTTGGTAAACGCTGGGATCTTTCTTTCGTTCTTGCATGCAATTTGGTATGTTGGTTTATAGAAAAAAAGTAGCCTTGGATGTTTCGTTCTCCGATATTACCAAATTTTTTCTTTGGGCATGCCTTTGATCTCAATTGTATGTCCTTTTCAGGACTTTGTTTCTAACCATTCCAAAGTAAGCTTGTTTTTTTTTAAGTTTTCTTCTGTTCGTACCGTTTTTTTGCATTATTTACGTGAAAATATGATGCTTTATAATTGTTAAATAATAATAGGTTTTATGTTTTAAAAATATATTTGCCCCTTTTTATTATATATATTTGGAATTCCTCTCTCCAAGTGTTTTCTTTATTTATTCTATCATATTATTGCTATCATTTCAACCATTATTTTCACATTCCAGATTGAGTGAATTAAGTTTTGTTACTGAGCTGCATTTAGGTTTGTAATATTCAATGAATTCGCTTGTTTTCTTAGATTCGGGCGCGTTAAAAAGTAATGCTTTATATCATTGCCTTGCATATACAACAGAAACATGTGTCGTGGTTCTTGATATTAAGTCTAGAGGAATTAAATGGACACCTAACATGATTTGTTAATAATTGTGTTGAACAATACATAAAGGGAAAAATGAGGGAATACTATAAACCGAAGGAATCCATTGAAGATTTGTGCGTTCTATTCTCTTTCTCTGCCAAACAGCATTCCATATACCATTGGATTTAAAGTTAATTCTTTTTTACCCGTTGTTTTTATTGTTTAAGGGCTAAAATACATAATTGCATCTAGCAGATGACACGTAAATGTCAGCTAAAAAATTACCTAAATTATAGGAATGACTTTCAACGAAATAATATTGAGTATTGAATTCGGCATGTAATACTCAAATTTGATTTTTAGTTATATTGATTATTTCGTTTAGATTTACAGGGTTACTTAATGCTCGTAATTCTGTAAACTCTGGGTAAAAATGTGAGTCTGGTGTTGTATGCATATTTAATAAATATTCTGTTGCTTTCGGGAATGCTTTTGCCATAGAAAATTGTGTTATGCTTATATAAGCTATACTTTTCAATATGCTGCCCTAAATTAATATTGGCAGACTGAACCATCTGTGTAAGTATTTAGTGCGTTTATGTTTCCTTGGAATGTTTTCGGATCTTATATCCTATATTCTACTGAGGATGTAAGGCTGGGACGCACGATAAGTACATGGAGTATTGAATAGTTTGGGGTCGTAATAACAATTCAGATTTAATTGCTTTCCTTTCTTGAAATACATTAAACATAAATATTTCTAAATTGAAAGTTATCGTTATTGGTTTGGTATCACATAGAGCTGGCAGACTAATATTAGACGTAGTGCGATAAGCTTGGCAAATTTTTAATATGGGATTTCTTTGAGCAGAAAATATTTCGTTTTAAATAACTGTTATGTTCTTTTTTTCACCGTGCAGGTTCACCGTTTACTTTATTCGCTTTATTGAATCCAAATGAATTTTTCTAATTTGATTCCCGCTCAGCCCCCATTGCACAAAAGGAAAACGAGCTAAATAAATGTGTGTTTAAGTATTTTATTTTGAGATATGCTACGTGCGGAATATATGAGAATTTGGCGTCAAAAATGATTCCTAAGATTTTCAATTCCTGTTTGTATTTTAACTTATTGTTGTGAACTTGTTCGCGGAAGGTGCTTTTTGTATTTGTTTCCGGGAGCTATTTGTAGGCAGCAACATTTCGAGTAATTAAATGCTACCTTTCTTTTGCCCATTGTGTTCTTTTGTTTAAAATAATTTCAGAGCGCTTTTGAATTTCCCGGCATGAGAATCCGTCTACTACAAGCACCACATATTCTGCAAATGCCTATGTAAGCGTATGCATTTGGAGGTTAGCATTTAGTAAGTCAAGTATTACAGTATTCAATATTAATGGGCATAGTGGAGATCCCTGTGGGCATCCCAAAGTTACTTTCCTTTTTATTGTACTAAGTTTTAAATTATAGTGTATAGTTCTATTATAAAGAGTGAACGGATTCAAGAGTATAAATTTAGTGGACAGAAATCTCGAATCAAAGGGTAGCGTAGCGATTCAAATTCTCCTTGAAAATCTAATAAGATTACTGTGCAAACCTTTTGTTATAGTTTGATTTTATGGATATATGGAGTGGAAGATTTCTTATGGGAAAACCCAAATTTATTTGGGTGTAATAGGTTTGATTTGCTAAGCAAAATATAGTCTATTTTAAAGTAGTCGCTCTAAAACTTCACCAAGTAGGGAATTTAAACAGATTGGTCTATATGTGGTTGTAGGAATATTTTGACGTTCTGGTTTATGTAATAGATTTACTTTGCCGACTTTCCATACCTTTGGAAAATAGTCTGATTGTGAACACAAGTTATAAATATATTTAAAATATATTTATATAAAATTTTGGATGATATGCTCATATTTGTTTTGTTATAGGATATGTAATTTTACCCACCCCAAGGGATGTTTTTGTACATAAATGATCGATTGATGATGATATTTATTGCCTGGTAATTGAATAGATTGATGTGAGCATTTACTGAGAGATCAACTATTATATTTCCTCTATTAATTAAAATATCAAAGTGTGGATACGTCATCTTTTTAAAAGGTTATCTAGTATATGACCTACTGATTTTAGCAGGATGTGGTGCTGGTTCTATCTGTTTTGGTTGTTAAAGGTGTGAAAAGTTGTGTTTAACCTTTTTAATGTGATTTTATGAGGAACTCTAAATAGTGATATTTTCGTATTTTTATAATAAAAGTTCCCTCATGAGGTTATTTTAGCTAAGTTTTTTTCTCTTTTTAAATGTTTCTTTGAAATCATATTTTCTTCATATAGTGGTTTTAGTTCTGTATTGTTGCATCTTTGATGTCTTCTGCGTTACGTATTAAATTTCATTCTGATTTTTTTTAGTTC